CACTCAGGGCCGCGTAAGTCGCGGCAGCCCCCTCCCGCGAGCGGCCCGCGCAACTCGCTGACGGGACATAACGGCGTCCCGGCCCGCTGTGGAAGGAGCCACGATAAGCCCCCGCCCGCCTCCCTCCCGCTCCCTTCTTGGCCCGCCTCTGTCGCCAGGACAACCCAGCGGCCAATCAAACAGCAGCGCCGGCAGGGGGCGAGAAGGAGGGAGGCAAGATGGAGCCCTGCCTCCGCAGGCCTCCCGAGGAAGGGGCGGAATAAAAAGAGCCGGAGTCAGATAAAGAGGCAAGCTAAAAGATGGGCTGCCCGGATGAGGGGAGGCACAGGAAAAGAGGCAGCGCTGACAAAACTGGGGGGAGAGGGGCGTTTTCTCCTTCCCTCAGAGCTGCGTGAGGGAAAAGTTCCTCTGGCCGTTTCCCTCCAACGGAGCTGAGAGAGTCGGAAGAAGAGGAGGAGAGTCGAGACGCCCAGCCGTGAAGGAGCCAGCAGAAAAGGCGAAGGAAAGCCAAAACGTGGATGGAAAAGAAATAGAAAGCAGAAACTAAAAAAGATAAAAGACCAATCAAACTCTGTAGGAAAAGGAGTTTTAGCTCCGTACGGAGTGACCGTAGAGATACAGAGTACAAGGATTAAGACCCAGAAGTCAGCCGTAAACAAATATATTACAGATATAGAATAGAAAGATAGGAGAATATAGTGTAAATGCTGTAAAGAGCTTATGGAACATAGAAGGTTAAAACAGAAAACAGTTTTATGATTAAGATTCATTTCTAAAAGCTTTCCTTTTTAAAATTGCTCCCCCCCCCCCATTCACTGAGGGGAGAATCAAAAACCCGATCCATTGTCCAGATTTCCAGTGCTCTCTGTCTATTGAGACGGGGTCTATCTGGCTATTGGTGGTTCCAAAAAAAGAACCAGCCACAGCCACAAAGAAATACCTGGAGGGCCAATCAGCTGTTCCACAACTAGCAGAGTGGCAGAAGCGCTGGAATTGGTGGCACCAGCGAGGCTTGGAGACGCTCCGCATGTCTTTTGGGGTGGCAGCAGCTGTAACGTTACTACTTTTTAAAAAACATCAGGCCACACGAGCCTGCTTGGCAGGCTGCATGCAGCCCACAGGCCATATGTTGTGCAGGCCTGCTCTAGAGCAAGATAGGGATTGAGCCTTGACTTCTAAGTAAGCCCTTTCCTTCTTTTTCCTCTAGCAAGTTCACCAGGGCAAACGGAGGGGGACTTGGTGAGAACTGGACCACCTAGCTTCTGCCAAGAAAGATACCAAGCAATGGCAGCTTCTTTCACTACCACAGGGCACTACTTTCTAACTGTAACAGGGTAGCACAGACAATTCCTCCCAAGGAAAGGAGGCTGCATTTCCACTGCACTCCCAAGATGAGATCTGAGGAACCTGGCTTCTTGTGCTACAGTTCAGCTTGGAGAAAGTGTGGCGAGTTGAAAATATTTTACACAGAAAATTGAGCTATATAATATATTAACCTGGCATTTTAGACAATACAGGTAGATCTCAATTAGTGCAGTTAATGAATCCCACAAAATGGTTGCATTATTTAAATTCACACTATTTGAAGTGATATTACTATGGAAAATATGGTAACTGGTTCCAGCTTGATGGCCATAAACATAATTTTTTATATGTATATTAATTAAATATTACAGTAAAGGATAAAAAGAATATAGTTATAATTTAAATTTATGGTTAACAAAGTCACAGAGTAGTTATAGAAAGCACAATAAAAACAAAAAAAATCTAAATATAATTCCTAAAGGTATGCTTACACTGACGAAAACATCTTTACTGTCTTTCAAAATAGCAGCATAGACTGAACTGTTTTTTCTTTCTTTAAATCTTCATACATATGCTGATAGTCACAGAGTGCTTTATCAACATCTCAGTGAATTTGCATACTTCAATCGAGGTTAAGGTCAGGATCCATAATTTTTTGCTTCATGTCTTCTACAGCTTGAAAGATACCTTCCAATTCCCTGAGAGTGAACTCCTTTACTTACACATTACTGCTTTCCTCTGATGGAATCTTCCTTTTCTCCATTTTTCACACAAAGATTAGCTGTCTAAAACCACAACTGCCCATGTGCTAGCCTCCTATTAACTGAATTTTGGGTCTCATTAAACTGACCTATCCATTTACAATTCGCACTAAATTGAATATCTCATTATTCAAACTTGCACTAATCACAACCTACCTGTATAGGACATGGTACTGAAATACATATTTATAAAGCTATCTTTTCTTGACTGATATTAAGTTCATCACAGAAATTCATGGCAAGACTCGCAAATGATTCATTACAAAGCTACACATTTTAATACCAAGCATAAGCTTCATTTTACATCTCAACTGTGGAAAAAATCATTTGGACCCAGTTCTGCTGAATGTTTGGAACCAAATGGAGGAATCCTTACCTCCTCAGGCCGGCTCAAAGCGTGTCCTTCTGGCCCTGTTATTCCCATTGCAAGCACCCGCTTTTGCTCCTGAAACAGAAGAGGCCATGGTCATTCCTGGGTAGCCCTAACCCCTGAGAGAGAAGGGCTCCACTTAGATTCTCAAATCACAGTAAGCAGTCCTGCAGCCAGGTGGTGGCTTCCTGGGAAAATTAGGACATGTTGCTTTCATTTATTTATCAGTCATTTTAAACATTTACATGCTGTCCTCCATACCAAGGAGGCCAGATAGTATTTTCTGCCAATTTCTGCTTCCTTGGTCCAGCAGAAGAAGAACCTGACTAGAAACAGCTTGGACTGTCAGTTCACCTCCAATACTTCTACAGACTCTCCTACCTGTTGTAACAGGCAAACATTAGCCATTCCAAGCTGTATGGCAGCTCCAAAGAAATTTATTTTATAACATGTATATTAGTTCAGGAGCTGGACCAGGACTGAGGAGACTCAAGTTATCCACAACCATGAAAACTCACTGGGAGACTTTGGGCCAGTCATTCCCTCCCAGCACAACCTACCTCTGTCTTGTGCTCTTGGAATAGAACCCAATAAATAAATAAATTCCACTTTGAGATTTACAGTGGCCTAGTCCTGAATCAAATCAGCCCACTTCAAGAGGTTAAAGGTTTTGCAAGGAAATGTGAGATTCCCTCTGAAGTCACCCAAACTAATTCTGGATCTTCCTGAAGCTTTGGAGCCTGCAGAAAGGGACACAGTCTGGCTTCAAAATGTGCTATTCTGCTTTTGCTTTTGCACAGTAGGAGAATCTCCACTGTAAAACAGGAAAAGGGAAGAGAGAGAGGAGGAAACTACTGACAAATTTCCCTTTGACCAGAAGGGCATTCTAATCACAGTGCTTTGACTAATACAATCAACATAACCAATATAAATACAAATAATGCAAGCAATCAAATAAACATCTCTCTCCTGTGCAAAGTGAGCAGTGTCATTTGGAGCCAGCCCTGGAGGAAGGAAGTGAACACCCCAACACAGTGCCACCCATTCCCAACCCCTGGAGCTGATCGTGTAAGATGGTATGAATAATGATATCAAAAGCTGTGGTGACTACCAAACTCTATAACAGAATCACCAATCAGTCCTTCAACCTCTTTCTCCCACCTGCACAGTGTAACAGGTTGGAGGGTATGGTTGCCACCTGTGCCATGTAATGAAGTAGCGTCGTTTCAGGTTGCTCAATTCTGACCTTGCTAGATCTAGTTCTTACATCCAACTGAATCCATCCCAACCATTTCCATCCATTTTTCCACCAGTCTTTTTCATTCCGTTAACTTTCACATCAATAGTCTCTCCCTCCATGCCACATATCACTATTCCATCCTTATTCTTCTCTCCTCTGATGTTTTCCTTCAATCAATTCCCCTTTTTCTCCTTCTCCTCCACCTCAGTATTCTTCCATTTCATGCATGATTTCTTCTTCACCCAATCCTTCTGAACGTATCCTTTCTCTCTCCACCCTCTGTTTCACCAAATCCAACACAATCAATTATTCAACTGATTTATTTTCCTTACTCTGGACTCCAACACAACCTGATCCTTTCTCAATCTATCTGACTCTCATCTTTATGTATCCTGTAAAGTGTTTTCAAACGGTAAGAGAACAGACAGAGAACTGTTAAGGTATGCAAATGCTGACATAAAGATAGTCAGTAGTATGTGGGCTGTTGCAAGGAAAGAAGTAAAAATGGCTGGGTATGTCAGGAGAAACATAAAAATAAGTTGACTGCAGTGGGAATAGGATACTTAAGTATATATGGTAAAAGACGATGATGCAGGATCAATAATGAATGGATGTTGAATAAATGTGGATTGAATATAAGATATGACTATAAGGAATATAAATGGTATGTGAATATAAAAGTGAGTGTCAAGACTGAAATAATTCAAACCAACTCTGGCTTGAATTATTTCAGTCTTGTCACTCACTTTTATGTGTGTTAGGCGTCATTTGAAGTCTAGAAGAGCTGTGATAGGGCTTAAAGTTTCTGTGGCAACTCCCTAGCTGCATTAAAGTACATTCCGAGACTCCTAGAGATTTCTGTTTCCTAAACTTTCCTACCATGAAGGGCTGACATTGAAAGCCGTCAAAGCTCCTCTGTAAGTCAACCCGTGCCTAACAAATCAAGGCAAAGTTGGTTTGAGTTTCTTTCCACTTTCCCTGGACTCAAAGTATCCTTTGTGTAAGGACTTGGTATTCTCAGTCCTCTGCTCTTAATCCAACTTACATCTCATCGTGGTTTCTGACTGCTTGTAATGCATTCTTAATTTTTATTTAGCTCTTAAAGACCAAAATAGATTTTATGTGTTGATTGAGTTAATGACTTACATGGCTGCCTATCTTAAGAAACAACTCTGGGTGGCTCACAATCATGTTACTTGCATGCAAAAATATCTAAGAAAGTCCAACTCCTTCCTTTTTTCCATAGCATTCTTTCAAAAGTGGTAACTAATGCATGCCCTGGACTGTTCCTACTCCTATCATCCCCTCTGCGTGTGCAACTTTATGCCAGTGGCTCTTACGATGGCAGGCCCTGCAGCCTCAGTTTTCATAAAGAGTAATACATTAACCTGGGGAGAAAACTCTGACTCTTCTAAATATAGCTCTGTTCTTCTTTCAATACTCAATGAGAAGAAATGCAGCAAACATAACTTTCTGACACATATAAGCCTTCCACTGTGTTTTCATCAGTAGGAATCCATACATTTCAACATCACTGTAAAGAGAAAAAGAGAGCAAGCGAGACAACAAGCAAGTTAAGAAAGGATAAGAAAGAGAAAACAGGAAAGAGATCTTTCTCACCTGAGCTATCAAATCCCCATTTTCCGCATGCACCATGATAACAGCTCCAAGACTTTTCAGAAATGTAAATGCTTCATAGAGCTACATACAATTCACAGAGAGAAAAAGAATGAGAAGAATGGCAGTCTGTTGATGATTTTACATGTTTACTATTCTCTCAGTTTAAGATAACATGAGATCCAAGAAAGGCAAACTTCATCACATCTATTCATTATCTCCTCACTGGCAAAATGGATCAAGTCCCTTCTGGGAGTAGGGAGCTTTTCTAACCTCCGTTCCTGTCTCCCCTCCTGGGTTAGAGGCACTACTGACTCAAGTCAGCAGAAGCTTCAAGTGAAAAGTGTGTTTGGCACTAATCAGTAACAATACTATCAAATCCTTTAGAGAGATATTTGTCTTGGGATCCAGCATGGAAGGAAAGAGTCAATTCCCCTTCTATATCCTTGATCCTGCGCATTACTAGCCCACTCCCCCCAAGTGATCCTTCTCCTGCAGAAGAACCCCAATGAGCTGTGGAGTGACACTTTTAAAGACGTGTAGTGTGCCCAGATTTAGCCCTTTACTATTCAAGCCAGATGTGCTGTGAATCTCTGGGCTCGGAAATGCACTGAACCTCAGGCTGTCTTTCCAGGTCAGGAAATATTAAGTGGAGTACAACAAGGGGCTAATTAATTGCACCAGCTCAAAGTTTGTTTCCAAGCCCAGTTCAAATGCCAATTCTGATTTATAACATTTTTCATGCTTAAGATGTTAGCATCCAGTAAAACCAGAATTAAAAAAGGAGATCCCAGTTTGGTGTAGTGGTTAAGGCGCTAAGCTGGAAACCAGGAATTCATGAGTTCTAGTCCTGCCTTGGTGACCTTGGACCAGTCCCTCTCTCTCAGCCCTAGGAATGAGGCAAGGGCAAACCACTTCTGAAATCTTGCCAAGAAAACTGCAGGGACTTGTCCAGGCAGTCGCTAGGAGTCAACACGGACTTGAAGGCACAAAATAATAATAATCAGAAAGCAGCAACTCCTAAAATAATTGTCATACATAGTACATTAATTTATTTAAATACTACCATGGACATTTTATTTGTTATGTTATTACGTGGATGTTGTAATTGTTTTGGTTGTTTGAAACCACCAGGAGGATAGTAACTCAATAAATGAGTGGAGTCC